GATTATCTCCAAGGCTTCAAAGACAAAAAAGAATGTCAAAGAAAATGTCAGGATGTATGTTTATCATCCCTTACATACCATCACTATCAAGGGGCATAAAGGAAGCTCTAGCCATTCTGGCATCCCTAAGAATCCAGGGTGGTACTGATATCAGATAATGAGTCACGGGTTACGAGTCACAACCACTGCCTTGAATGTAGAGAATGTAACCCCTGTCACTATCCTTTTGAGATAGCAACTATCAGTTCCTTGACTTATTACTCAATGTCTGCACAAAGAAATCACAGGGCACATGCAGTGCTTAAACTGCTTCTGTATAACTAAGAAAGGGAACAAACTCCTAGATCAGCCCAGCCAGCAGCACAAGGAGGAACTCCACAGAAAGGAAGGGAAGGGAAGCAGGCCTGGAGTTCACTGGCTACAATTACTGCTGAGTTGTGCCAAGCCTTCAGTAACCATCCAAAACTTTGTTCTCACAAGGACTATGCCTATCCCGTAAGGTGGGGGTTGAAATCATGCAGTGCGCAGGCTACATGCGCTGCCCCAAGCCCTTTTTTGCAGAGCACCCTCCCTTGCCCGTGGGCATCGCAGCTCTTAGGAATATCCAGGAACAGTGCTTCTCCTTCTAAAGAAGGTGTGCCATGCCTGCATCTTTTTTAAAGTTGCCAAAAATAAAAAAAACAGGAAACTAAAATGAACTTGCTCTGGAGCTAATTTGGCCTCTCAAAGCTTGCTCATCTCACCTTAAGGCAGTGGTCCCCAACCTTGGGCCTCCAGATGTTCATGGACCACAGCTCCCAGAATCCTTCACCACCACCTCTGCTGGCCAGGGTTTCTGGGAGTTGAAGTCCAAGAACATCTGGAGGCCCAAGGTTGGGGACTACTGCCTTAAGGGACAGAAAGCTCCCACCTGCTTTGGCTCTGCTTTTCCAAGTCGCCTTAAAGCTGCAGAGGCAAGAGAATCTGTCACTTCAAAACCCCATTTCAGCTCAGAACTGGAACGGACAGCTAAGACTTGGTCTCTTGGCAGTCCGCTCCTCATGGGACGGGTGGGGATAGGGAGGGTGAGCATATTCCCCATAGACCATACTAGAGCCCTTAGATGCAACAAACAACTTTGTTTAAGGGAAAACCATAATCTGGAGGCATGGTTTTCCGATTTTAAGGGTCAAAAATGGAAGAAGGCTCTCCTGGAGACCACAAAAATGCTCCTTATGTCACCTTTGATTTAAGGATTTTTAAATGCATAGTAAGATAGTAAGAATTTATATTTTATTATTATGACAAAATAAAATGTCAGGATGTATGTTTATCATCCCTTACATACCATCACTATCAAGGGGCATAAAGGAAGCTCTAGCCATTCTGGCATCCCTAAGAATCCAGGGTGGTACTGATATCAGATAATGAGTCACGGGTTACGAGTCACAACCACTGCCTTGAATGTAGAGAATGTAACCCCTGTCACTATCCTTTTGAGATAGCAACTATCAGTTCCTTGACTTATTACTCAATGTCTGCACAAAGAAATCACAGGGCACATGCAGTGCTTAAACTGCTTCTGTATAACTAAGAAAGGGAACAAACTCCTAGATCAGCCCAGCCAGCAGCACAAGGAGGAACTCCACAGAAAGGAAGGGAAGGGAAGCAGGCCTGGAGTTCACTGGCTACAATTACTGCTGAGTTGTGCCAGGCCTTCAGTAACCATCCAAAACTTTGTTCTCACAAGGACTATGCCTATCCCGTAAGGTGGGGGTTGAAATCATGCAATGCGCAGGCTACATGCGCTGCCCCAAGCCCTTTTTTGCAGAGCACCCTCCCTTGCCCGTGGGCATCGCAGCTCTTAGGAATATCCAGGAACAGTGCTTCTCCTTCTAAAGAAGGTGTGCCATGCCTGCATCTTTTTTAAAGTTGCCAAAAATAAAAAAAACAGGAAACTAAAATGAACTTGCTCTGGAGCTAATTTGGCCTCTCAAAGCTTGCTCATCTCACCTTAAGGCAGTGGTCCCCAACCTTGGGCCTCCAGATGTTCATGGACCACAGCTCCCAGAATCCTTCACCACCACCTCTGCTGGCCAGGGTTTCTGGGAGTTGAAGTCCAAGAACATCTGGAGGCCCAAGGTTGGGGACTACTGCCTTAAGGGACAGAAAGCTCCCACCTGCTTTGGCTCTGCTTTTCCAAGTCGCCTTAAAGCTGCAGAGGCAAGAGAATCTGTCACTTCAAAACCCCATTTCAGCTCAGAACTGGAACGGACAGCTAAGACTTGGTCTCTTGGCAGTCCGCTCCTCATGGGACGGGTGGGGATAGGGAGGGTGAGCATATTCCCCATAGACCATACTAGAGCCCTTAGATGCAACAAACAACTTTGTTTAAGGGAAAACCATAATCTGGAGGCATGGTTTTCCGATTTTAAGGGTCAAAAATGGAAGAAGGCTCTCCTGGAGACCACAAAAATGCTCCTTATGTCACCTTTGATTTAAGGATTTTTAAATGCATAGTAAGATAGTAAGAATTTATATTTTATTATTATGACAAAATAAGCCAAGGCTAGGGTCCTGTTGCACCACTACATATGTCTAAATCCTGATAGTGTCATCAGCTGAAGTCTTTCATTTGTAATATAAACTTTCCTATTCCTCCCCTTGGGTCCCTAGGCTCCTGAAGGGTGCCTTTTAGCCTGGGGAAACCTTTGGGAGCCTTGGGACAGGGTTGGGAGCCTTTAATATCTGGAAATCACTAGGATCAGGACAGCTGATGACAATTTTTTTTATATTGAAGGCTTCCTGTCCTGACAGTCCCAAAGGCTTCCCCAGGTTAAAAGAGATCTTGGGAGAGGAGGGGAGAGAACAATTTACATTAAAGATTAAGGTCTGTGGCTGGTGACGTCATCAGCCTTTACACACTCATTAGAGTTGTGCAATGTGATTTTGGCCCATATCGAAGTATCTAAAATGGCTTTGTTATGATCATGGGCTTGCAAAACGTTACATCAAGCGACATAAACAAGATGTTGTCACACTGTTATTCCAGCTGGAAGGGCTAGTGGGACTGATATGACCTCCATTTGGTGAGATTCCACCTACAGAACCGGGAGGAATGTACTTTCAGAGCTTGGACTGTTTGGACCATAACTTACAGAATCCGCTAGGAGTCCAAAGAAGTAACTTTTTCAAGTTCTGCATTCTCACAGCTAACTTTCCAAGTCAAATGACTTTAAAAACTGAGCCATAGATTTCTACATTAGAAATGTACAGTTGGATACAACCTGCAAAAGTATTTCAAAACAGATACTGAAAACATTCTTCCATCTCATTGTATTAAATAATTATATTTTCTGATCCAAAAGTTCATAAACATAGACAAGTTGTCTTAAATGAAATTATCTTTGATTTTTTTTCCCTTTGAAGTTGTTACCTGCATTTATATGTCTTCATTATTGTTAAGACTCAAACTTTTGAATACCTTCATATGTAAATATATCATCAGGAATGAATTTTCAGTAGTAAAGGACAAATGTGACAGAGAGGATGCAAACTAAGTGTATAGTTATTTTTAAGCTATTTTGATCCTAGTAGGTTACTGCAGTAGTAGCTGTAAAAAAGAAAATATTTAAAATTAAAACTGCTATTTCTTTCCAATAATGGCCAAACTCCTGCTGCTTAACACAGAAAATCACATTGGAGTAGGCCCATTGAATCAATAGGGATTTAGGGAGTCACCTCCTCTATAGGTTCTGTTAATTCAAATGGACCTACTTGAACTGCAACTTACTATATTAAAGGAAGTTGCAGTTAGAGTAGGACCAATTGAATGAGTGGACCTTATGGAGGAACTGACTCACCAAATTCATATTGATTCAATAAGCCTACTCTAATGCTATATACCAGCGATGCCATGCAAGCCATGAGTCACTGGATCACTACTCCACCCCACGCAGCCAAACCTGAGAAAGCGGCTGCAGCTGCAGTGCTGGCGCTTCAGCAGGCAGATCCAGAGCACCTGGCACTGGTAGCGGATCCAGAATGGGGTCTCACCTCCGTGCCCAGGATTCCCCCCTTCTGTCACCACTTCCAGTTCCGCCACCACCGCCACTTCTGGTTCTGCCACCACCACGCCACCCACTGGTTTTTTCCTTTCCTTTTCAGTTTGGGCACGCGAGCCCAAAAAGGTTCGCCATCACTGCTATATACTATGCTAAGCAACAGGATTTTGGTCAATGACCAAAAAACTCAAAACTCCCTCAAAACTTTTAAAAGACATCCATAGAGACTTTGATAGCAATTCATTTCACATTTGTTTAAGCTATATACTTCACCTTCCCTGGGCCACATTAGAAAATGAAAATTTGGTTTGGACCGCACATAAATTTGGTTTGGGCCGCATGGGGGGGCAGCCCTAGCCGTCCTCCGCAGCCCCGCTCCAAGCACGCTTACCAGCAGCTGCGATCTCAGACAGCAGAGGCTGCCACCTTCGACTCCGGTGGCTTTATGGGGCTGGGAGGGGCCCACCTACTGACGGGGATGGTGCAATGCAGTCATGCAGCCCCGCTCTCTCCTCCCCTCCCGCTCCTTCCTTCCTTCCCTCTCTCCCCCCCTACCGTTGTGACATGTCCCGGCTGTATTCCAGCTGCAAGCGCCAACAGTGTAACTTGAAACTTTGGAATTTCTTTAAAAATAAAAAATTGCACTGGGCCGTATTATGAGCTGACCTGGGCCGCATGCGGCCCATGGGCCGCAGGTTGGACAAGCCTGGTTTAAAACATGTCAATTTAATCAGCCAGTAGCTCCATAACCCAATTCTACACACACATACTCAGTTCTACTATATTTGTGGTGACTTAGTCCCAGACAAACTTGCATCAAATTATAGGCCTAAGCATTAATCATTAGCTATTGCCTCTAGACTCTTTCAGTGCCGTTTTCGGAAACCTCATTCTCTCCCTATACAAAGATCCTAAGAACATCACCATCCCTACTGGAATAGTCTTCTTTTTCAGTACCTTTTCCAGGAGCCGCTCAACCTTTCGAAGTGAGGTGCGACGGGGCGTCTTGTCAAGTCCTGCCCCTCCAGGGGACCCCCCAGGATCAGGGTGCCTCCCACCACTTCGTTTCTCTTCTTGTCGCTCAGCCTCTCGTAACTTGGCTTCTGCATTCAGGCAGTCAATACGGTATGTCTGGTATGACTTCATGGCCTACGTGGAAACAGTGTGTATATCAAAAGCAGAACAACCATAACTAGTTGAGGCAGTGTTACAGCCATAGCCCTCTAGAAACAAGGAGCCTCAAACCTTAGGACTTGATTACACAGTCGTGCAGACTGTCACACTATATAATAAATTGGAATGCTATGCATTTATCAATTAGACTTTTTTGGCAGTTACTCTTCGGTTCAACACATTTTACACAAGAAAACATTCCAATGAAGTTTTGCTCCGCTTGTGTAATCTATTTCCTCTTCCACTAGTTTCAGTGGCATACCACCAATATCTGTGCCTTGAGGTAGCCACCTCCTCTTGCCTCACAGTGAGGATGCTTCTGATTCTTCACGGGAAGAGAGACAGAGATTCTTGTGTATGGTGTGCATATACCAGATTCTAGGTTCAAGCTTCGGCAACACCAACTACAGTGGTGCCTCGCAAGACGAATGTAATTTGTTCCGTGAGTAGCGCTGTCTTGCGAAAAGAGGTTTCCCATAGGAATGCATTGCAATGCATTCCTATGGGAACCTCGCAAGACGAATGATTTTTTTCATCTTGTGAGGCATTGGTCTTGGGAAAAAAAAGTCTTACAAAGCACGGCCATAGAAGAAACTATCTTGCGAGGCACCATAGTGATTACAAAAACCATTCATCTTGTGGGTTTTTCATCCCACGAGGCATTCATCTTGCGAGGCACCACTGTATAAGACTCTTGGATACCAGGGCCATGAAGATCTCTGTCTGAGGATGAAGCAAAGTGTTCCGCTTATATACTGTCTCATAGTGCTTAGAGCTCTCTTTGGGCAATTTACAATTTATTTATTGTAGGCTACACATTGACCCCCTTCCCTCAGCAAGCAAGGTACTCAATTTCCCAACCTTGAAAGGACGGAATGCTGAGTCAGCCTCAAACCAGCTACCTGAACCTAGGATCAAACTGAAGTTGTGAGCAGCGGCTTCATTGCAGTACTGCTGTTTAACCACTATGCCACAAGGCTCATCTGGCAGCTTTTTGTGAGAATCACTCACGACATCCTGAACTAGACAAGGACAGGTTGCTTACCCATAACTGTGTTTCTTCAAGCAGTCATCTGCGAATGCATACATATGAGTTTTGTGATGGCACAGAGCCATCTTAAGAACATTCTAGAGCTGATGGATCTTTTGGTGAGAGCCTCTCGCCCCCACAGCATGCATGTGCAGCTACCCTCAAGTAGCTCCTCAGTTACATGTCCTCTGCCTACAGTATCACGGACAGATACCCTGAGAGGAAGGTGGGAGGGAAAGGGTTAATTTACAGATGATCACTTGAAGAAACACAGTAACAGATAAGCACGCTGTCTTCACCATCTCTGTGAATCATTCTGCCTACAGTATCACGGACAGATACCCTGAGAGGAAGGTGGGAGGGAATGGGTTAATTTACAGATGACCACTTGAAGAAACACTGTAACAGATAAGCACACTGTCTTCACCATCTCTGTGAATCACACATATGGGTGACTAGCATGCTCCCCTACTGCAGGAGGCAGGATATTGATCGATCGATCAATCCATCGATTGATTGACTGGATTTCTATCCCGCCCATCTAGAGCAAAGGTCTGCTCTCGATGGTTCAAGACTTCAGTTCAAGACTGAAGAAAGCACTTTCCTCCCAGAAGACACACCAGAGTCCGATTGATAATGATAAACTTCAGTTCAAGACTGAAGAAAGCACTTTTCTCGCTGGAAATACATCAGCTCTGAACCCAGAGTCCGATTGATAATGACAGATGAATGTAGAAGACTGAAATTGTGGAGCAGCAGCAGACACTGAGGGTGTGAAGTGACTTCCTGAAGTTTGAAACAAGGTCAGTGGGGAAAGGTGGAAAGAGAATGTCCTGTGAAAGATGGAACATAATGCAGACCTTTGAGAGCAAAATGACATTTGACTGTGCAGATAGTTTCTAGGAAAACTAAATTTCTGATAACAGATTTTCTTTACTGCGAGACAAATGGTTTGGGGGTCTGGGTGACAAACAAAATTGTGGGACTAAGTGAAGAAATCTAGGAGTCACAGGTATCTCCAGAATTCCCTCTAGACACTGTGGAAACGTGCTGTCTTCACCACCACAGGATGGGAAAGGTAACTTGGCTATGACTTGCACAATCAGCAGGGAAGACAGAAAAAGGTAAGACAAGGCCCCTAACCCAGTGGTGAGGGAAACCATCACCAAGGGAGTTTCTACATCTCACCTTGATGCAGGACAACAGCCATTGTGGTTGGTTGGGGAAACAAACCCGTCAACAAGAAAAGAGCTGCAGCAGGAAATTGAGACTGGAAAACAAGTGTGAGGGAAACGTCTCTGAGCTTTGGCAAGGCTGTTGTTAGCATCAGCACCATAGAACACAGTTGACATGATGTGCTGGGGAACACAGCACTCTCACCAGTGCAGGGACAAGACACGTGAGAGGCAGGAAGTAAGAGGCACCTTTTTACATACATCATGGTAACAACAATTCTGCTTACAAGAGATTATAAAGACATGGAAGGCTTCACAATGACCAGGAGCTCAGCTGATGTGCTGGTAGGACTTGGTCAGGGATGAACAGCCATGGACCGTGAGATCTTTGCAGTGAATTCACTGCCCAGAGAGAAAAGCATCTGTTGGAACTAGAATGGAAGGTGACAGCAGCTGGAATCACATCCTGCAAGACAGATGCATGCTAGGGGGAAAAACCCAGATGAAGGAGTGGTGGATATGCAGAGGAACAGCCAGGTGAATAGAGGGGAGAGCACATGAAGAAATCATGGGAGAAGCAGGTGGAAGTGAAGACAAGTTAATGCATAAATAGCAGTGATGGAGGCCCTCAGCTGTAGAAGTCCCTCAATGATACAGGCTGAACAATCAGCAGCAACTATGACCTCTTGGGGTAAATAAGAGCACAGACTTCCAGTGAGTTCATTATAGAGCCAACGTACTAAATGGCAATTGGTTGGCATCAGCACTGGCTTGTTGTTGTTGATCTAGACTTGAGCCTCATGGCGCAGTGGTTAAATTGCTGTACTGCAGCCAAAACTGTGCTAATGACCTGGGGTTCAGTCCCAGGTAGCCGGCTCAAGGTTGACTCAGCCTCTTTTCCTTCAGAGGTCAGTAAAATAAGTACCCAGCTCACGGGGGGGGGGGGGTGGGTAGCCTGCATAATTAACTTGTAAACTGTCCAGAGAGTGCTTGAAGTACTATGGGGGGGTATATAAGCAGCATGCTTTGCTTTGGCTTTGCTAGAGGCCCAGCTGGCTGAGAAAGGCGAGAGTGTCAAAGACAGAGAGCATGATGGTGAACATTGATGTTTTGGTGCAAAAAAAGAAACCTTGAGTGATTATTACTTAAAGTTGTGATGATTGCCAAAGAAATATTGAGAGGACTGGTGGGAGATTCAAGAAGAGTATTGGCACTTCTAGTCCAACTTGAATGGACAAGAAGTTTGCTGTTTAGAGGAGATTATCATCTTTTGAGCAGTTACATGGGCCATGGACAAGTGGTCCGTGGCATCATCAGCCTTGCAATAAAACAACCCTCTTCTGTCAGAGAGAAAATAATCAATTCTAGAGTGTCCCTCAGATGCAACTCCAGCCAACCTGAGCGGCACATGCCAATGGAGAAAGAGTGGCATGCCTTCAGTAACACAGTCCACTACGTGACATGCTGAATTGATCTGATGGGCAACAAGATGGTTGGCTTCCAACTGAAAGGCCCAAGGCCAAGTTCTTAGTCCTTAGAAAGGTAGGAGAACACAGGATTTTTTCTTAAAAATCCTTAATAGGCCACAATACATACAGTACTAGAGAGTTGCTGAACCATATGTTGATCACAGCAGAAGAATAAAAACTGTAGTCCACAAGGTTGTATATAATAATGTGACCTCTTTTATTCAGTGGAGTACAGAGGGAGTTGCCCTTCCCGTTATATTGAAATGCTTCAAACAATGATCAAATTGTGTGGTAGCTTTTGAAACAATAAAAAACTCCTACAGCTTGTATCTAGTAAGGATTCTCAGTGTGGTGAGACAGGGAGCTCACAGAAGAAATCTAGGTCCAGGACTGTTTTACCAGTTGAGCTAAGGAGGCAGATGGCTTTATGCTTCCTAATCAGCTGTCAAGACTTTCCAGTGTAACCAGAGTTTAGTCTAGTAGACAAGAGGTCCTCTTTAGTGAAATCTATACAAATCGGCCACAAGTGGACAGTATGGCCTTTGCCAAGGCCAAAAAAAAGGCATAGCATCAATATGGGCTATTTCCCTGTCACAAGAGATACACCTCTTGAAGAGGATCTTGATGCAATAAAAAGAAAGACTTAACTAAACTAATGGGGAGGGGAGGAAACA